GATGGGACCCTAGAACAGTAGAAAAAGTTTGATTTGGACGTAAACGGACCCAGTTTGCCTACGGAGTGTGCAAAAAGTATATTTGTTTATGAAGGGTTGATGGTATAGTATTGTCGAGTCTGGGGTGAATTCTTCTTAACGGTAACCCAACATCTTTTCGTGTTTCATCTGTGTAGAAAATTCTTTCTCTGTCATGTAAATAGTTTTAGTGAATTATTGTTTCGGAGGAGAAACCTATTTTTCAGTTTGGTCAGTAAAAGGAAATTTATTACGTCTGTATAGCTGAGCGCTGCGACGCAACTTTGTGATGTATTTTCGAAATATTACGGAAATCCTGTAAATTCAATCTAAGCTGAACGTATTTATTACCGAACGTCGTTAATATGTTAGTGAAGAAGTCATTTCTATTATTGCATACTGATGCATGAAAAATAAGGCCATCTAAAACAATTTTCACGTTAATTTCATCAGGAATGAAGATAATACGAAGAAAGTATCCTCTGTGTTTTCGATCTATTTTTGAATACAGAATCGAATGTATCCTGGTCGTGTTTCTTAATGTAGAGAATTCAATAGAAGAGGAATTCGCGAAATATTTGTCCTCGGCGAAAGAAGCTTGTCGAGGAGTCTGGTTTCGGGAAATTATTTTGCGGAAAGTGTCCCCTCGGCGAGGGTAGCCCGGGTTTCGCGTGAAATCTTCCGTGAAAGGGTTGAAAGGAAGTATTCGTAGGATGACCAAGGCACGGCTCGTCGTTAAACAATGGCGTTCCGAACAATTTGCTCGTAAACGTCTCGTGGGCCAATTTGTCGGGCAATTTCTGAGGAAAATCGTTCGGTCACTATCGCGAACGTCGAAGGACAGGATTCGTATGTGGTGGCCATATTGTTCGTTTGATCCCCCGATACCTTCGCTGGAATTTAGCCCCCGATCATGGTACATCCGACCAGAAAAAAAATTACAGTACCCAACGACTTCACGAACTGATAAACATTTCTACTTAAAAAAAGATTCTTCAGAATGAAACTATATATTTTCTAATTTCAATAATTTTCAGTTTATCGGTATAATATTCCAAACAATATTCATAGGTACTTTTATTGTATTCCAATATTTTTTATGTATATCTGTATAGAAAGATATAAAATTAGTAGCAACTAATAATCTTGAATTGATAATACTTTCCTATATTTCAATAATTTTCAGTTTATCGGTATAATATTCGAAATAATATTCACACTTTCATTATATTTCAATCTTTTGTATTTGTATCGTTATAGGAGAGTATAACATTTTTAGCAACTCACGATAATGCCCAATATCGATATCGTTTATGATTGTAGATTATTAACCTTTAGAGAACTGGCAGATTTTTTTTTAACTTTTTATATTTTCGAGTTAGAACTTTTATATATTTATTATAGTGTTATACTACAAAACTAAACAACTCATCCGGAGCCTAAAAATGGGTTTCCTGTTTCCTAAAGTTTAATAAAGTTCGAATAATAATAATTTCTTAACAGGTGTGTAAATATTTCTATAGTAACTAAACAAGTATAACAATAATAATGGTTTCATTAATCACTCTTCCTCCAGCCAACCAACCACAGTATCCCCACCGCGAGTTTATCAATGTTCATTAATTTTCAATTCACGTTTATTCACTGTAACTGTATTCCAGTCTTGTTACTCGAAGAAATTTAATTCTATAAATCATGATCGATGCGTCCTCTCCGTCGAACGGTGAAAACCGTTTCCCCGTAGTAGAAAGATCGTGAAAATCTAAAGAAATAATCCTAACGGATGGCCGCTTGCGAGGTTTGCATATGAAAAGACGGGTTCGGCCGTGAATCGATACACCTTTATTATGCTCTCGAGCACTCGCTTATCTCTCGGTGGTCCCCTTCTCCATTTTTTTTTTCTTCTCTCTCTGTGTCGACGAAAGAAGGGAACTCGGCAATATTTTCGACTTCCGGGCGTAGGAAGGAAACCGTGGGGAGACCCCGAAGGGCGCCGCAAGGGCCGAAGGCGTGAAACAATATGCCAAATTTTCACGGTTTGCCCAACCGATGACCCCTCATTTGCCGCGTGACTCGTCCCTTTTCTCACTTTCTAATTTTTCCCCCGTGGTTTTAGACTTCGGAACTCCGTGTTCGCCACTCGAAAAGGATCGAATCGATCAGTCGGAGTAAATTACGTGTTTTTTCTCCCTGTTTTGTTTCTGAAGCTCCCTGCTACTCAAACATCTTTTCCCCTGACGAACCTTTTGTTACCTCGACGCTCTTTTGTCTTCTCGATTTTTAGACTCGGTGGTCTTGTCGTCGGATAAGAAGGTACATTTTCTTCGCATTTTACAGATTTGTTTTAAATGAATTATTGGAAAGATTGTAAATTAAACTTAATTCTAGAGGGTACTTAGGGAATTGAAAATAACAAAGCATCATTAGATGACTAGAATTCAGAATAGTAAAATATTTAATGAAGTTCAATGAGGTTTATTCTTTTATTTATAACCCGAAGGAATCCTTAACCCTTGAGGACACGAACCGTGAATACGCCATTTATTTCTTCGTAATTTTAAAAGACAGCAACAGGTTTTCCGTTTTACTTCTAATAAAAAAAATTCCTATTTTTAATGATACATAATTACGTCGAAAACGAAACATTTTTCAAATAAAAAAAAGTTGGAGAAATGGAAGACTTCTCCGTTCTGGTGGCTAAAGGTATTATACAGTAAAGAAATTTTTCTTTGATTCGAATTTCTGTAAATTCACCCGAAAACGTCTATATTTGACTAAATATCCGTGGTCTATGGATTTTCCTGCTTGTGGATGGACAATTTCGATTCAGAATTGTAGAAATTAAGCACCTTGAGTAATAAATTAAATAAATGATTTTTCTGCTTTTATGAGACCTTGGTTACCATTCTTCGGGGCCGTTTTCAACGTGAATACATCGTTTCCACATCGAACAGAGATTGATCTGCGACGGGATCGCGGTATTTTCCTGTCTCATTCCGTGAACGCTTCTTACTGCAACGCGTAAACGCCAAGAGCGTAATCGTGGTGAAAGGTCAGCCGAGGCGGGGAAGAAAAATCTGTCGCCCACCGGCAGCCTCGTTATTCTACTTAGCACCTTGTTACAACCGGCGATATGTGTTCCATTGTGTATTGTCGCGTGGTGTCCTATCACTTATAAGCCTGACGTCCCCGACTTGATTCTAATTTAATTTAGGATTCATTGTTTACGCGTCCCATTGTCGAGTTGGCATCCGAGGGAACGTGATTCATTTATCGAGCATCGGTCATGCGTTCCTAAAGTGTTCTCTACTGAAAGAATTTCTCCTCGAGAATCTTGTAGTACCATTGAGAAAAATCGAAAAACCGATTAACCGTTCGATCGTCATAATTTTTATTCGTCAGGAGAAACGACGTCGTTTTCGAGCAGAGTTGAAGAAATTCACGTGAACCTTGATTTAGCAGAAGTTCAGCTTTAAGACGGCTCTCCAGGATTTTCTTCGCGACAAAGAGGCCTTCCCCTTATCTCGAAGGTCCATTTAATTAGGGATGCTTTATTTTTCCGTGACCCTTTGTTTCCGATCGACCTGTTTCCCCCTCCATTTCGTTCGCTAAATTACTCCGAGACGACATAATATGGGAAACGGTCGTGAACTTTTTAATCTTTTCCCAGACTGCTCTTTCCGCGTTACCTTCGCGTCCGATTCAGCTGGAAAGTTTTAAAGAACGACTCAGGGTCTCGTGTTGTAATCGCGGAAGAAAAAACTCACGATACCTCCTTTTGCGATTCTAATACCGATTTCCTAATAAAACTCGAAACTTGAGCACCTGTACCTTAAGTGGATTATCGATGACAATTTAATCTCACGTAAAATGGTCTCACCTAAAATGACTTTCTCCGAGTTCTCCATAACAGAAAATTTCGAAATACTATCGATTGAAAAAAATCACAGTGACACGTGGAACTGTTATAAATAACCCAATCCCCCGCATTTTCTCCTCCGAAGTGCAAATGGCGCGGTTACTTGTCCATGACCGCGAGTCGTACGACCCTCGAGAAAAAGGGAGAGACCGTTCGAAAACGTACATCGACCTGGAACACATCTTCAGGCTACCACGTTGCCCCGAACGTAAATTTAAGTCACGATCGTCCCCCCTCTAACGGCCGGAACTAGCAGAGGATCCGTGAATATGTTCTCGAGGTTACGTATTCGACGGTGTGTCTCCGAGCCGCGAAATAAGGGTCGTTTCTCGAAGCACATGGCGTGGCCATCCCGGGCGACTGTTCCGCTCTTCTGGCTCGCCCTCTTTCTCTATGCCCCCGTCGCGAAGGGTGGCCTCGAATTAATAAAATCCCACCGACACCCCCCAGAACCGCGTCGTCGTCGTCGTCATCTCTGGTACGCGTAGCGTGAAAAATGGCCGAAAATCTGATATTCCGGATTAAAAACATTGAAATTCAAAACCCGTCCCTTCCCCCCGCTTGTCGTTGCCCACCCCACGGTATCACGGATATAGAGGGTCGAGAAGTCGTTAAGGGTCAGTTTCAGAACCGCGCGTTGCGGCAACCGATCCCCCATCTTTCATAGATCTTCCTCGGGGATATTATTTTTAAGCCCACACCCCCAGACACCCCCGCGACGAAGCAGCAATTTGACACAGGCGCGCCGTTTGAATTCCGAATTCAATCGGCGACTACCGATTCCTGTCCCGATTCCGCGAAATTAAGGGTGCCCACGGAAATTGATAGTGGGGCTACGTGTCTGTGTCTCCGTACGTGTGTCCCTTTACAATGTGTCGCACACGATTCGTCCCCTAGATGGTCTTGCTATACACGACGGTTTTCAACCGCGTGTATCATAAATCATTTTCTCTTGCCTAAGCGTGTTCCCCCCCCCCCCCACAACTTATCGGTCGCGTAATCGTCCTCCACCGTGGCGAATCCAAATGCCTGAACCGCCACGCGTTTGCGTTTTTTGTTACAGAACCGAGATGGTTGCAGTGCTCCCAGTGTTCCAGAAGACTGTCCTCCGCGTGGGAGCTACTCCAGCACGTCCAGAGCGCCCACGGCGCTAGATTGTACACCTCCCCGTCGTCGTCCACGAATTCTTCGTCGACCACACCGGCACCTAGTCCGCCGACACCGACACCGACCCACACGCACCACCTGAGCCCGCCGAATCATTTGAATCTCAGCGGAAAATCGACAGGAAGTTCCTCCGCGGCGAACTCGTCCGGCGGGACGAACTCCAGCGGTAGCAGCGGTGGTAGACAACAGTTACAGTCCTCCGCTTCCCTAGTCGGCGATCCTCTGCACAGTTTTCTGAGGCTACCTCAACACCTGGAACGAAGCTTTCCGCCGATGTTCAGGCCAGACTTCCTTGCCCTGAATCCGCTGGCCGGGTACAGAGGCCTCCAAGAACTCCAGACCGCGACCAGGAATCTTCAGAACCTGGGCGATCCGCTTCGGGGCATGGACGGGCTGAACTTAGGGGATCCATTAGTCCGTAGTTCATTGGACTCTCTGAACAACGCCCGGAACCTGGCGAACTTAGCTGAATTGTCGCACGGTCGTGGGCTTGCCGGTCAGGCGCATCCTCCTCCACTTGAAGCCAACCTGGATTTTTACTCGGCGCGCCTAAGGAGCCTCGCTAATCCGTCCTTAGGCGCGGCTCCACCTAGTAGCGGTAACACGACGACGAACGCTAATCCGCCTGCCCCGGTACCACCTGTACCAGTACCGAGTACCGTCCAACAACAGCAACAGCAGCAACAGCCACAGCCCCAACCGCCACAGCCGGTCCAGAATCATAGTCAAACGGTCGAGTCGCCGAAACCGGCGTCCAACAACACCACGATCATCACGCACGGTAACCATCAGAAGGAGAACTCACCGCCCTGCTACAATCAAAGTCCGATCGGTCATCACAACAACAACAACTCGACCGACAGCGAGAAGACCAGCCCGCCAGTCGCCTCTACGCCGATCATCACGGATTCCGCGTCCGAGACGATCTACACGTGCGAGGTATGCGACAAGAAATTCCGTTTCCAATCCAACCTGATCGTCCATCGACGAAGCCATCGAGACAAAGAGAGACAGTATCAACGGGACGGCACGCAGGACGGTCAAACAACGCCCACCAGATGCGAGGTGTGCGAAATCGAAGTGGCCAGTTTCGCGGAGTTAAGGAAACACATGAGAAAGGAACATCAGGAGAACCTAAACGCGGCCAGTCCCCAAGGCAGCGTCGAGACTGTCCCCGATGACGGTTCCAGCTGCGACGAAAACATGGACCTAGACGAGGCGGAAGAGACCGAGCCCAAGGCTGAACGAGAAGATAACGAAGAGAATACTCCCGAGGATTTGAGCACTACCCAAGGTCAAAGCGGAGAGGAAAGTGGTGGAAGAGTAGAACAGAAACCCGCCAGTCTGGTCGGTGATCTGATGGAGAAGTTCGGGTTGAGCAACATAGCACAATACTCGGAAGCCTACCGACAGGCGTTGCAGGAGAACCATCGGGGCGGATTCATCAAGACGGAATCCCCGTCGAACCTGACCAACTCTCTGAACAATAACAAAGAGAAAGACAGCGCCCTGTCGCCCACGAACTTCAATTCCTCGACCACACCTAACATATTCTCCGGTCAGGGTTTTCCCAGGTCCTCGGGCCCGGACTTCGGCGGCCTATGGCTGCCCAGTCCCCATTACCTGGAGAACAACGAATTCCGTAAAGCCTCGAAGGCCACCACATCGAGCCTAGCGTTACAAGGCCTGCCCAGCCCGTTACTGAAGAAAGAACGCAGCGGTAGAAACGACACGTGCGAATACTGCGGCAAAGTGTTCAAGAACTGCTCGAACCTGACGGTACACAGGCGATCGCACACCGGCGAGAAGCCGTACAAATGCGAACTGTGCTCGTACGCGTGCGCGCAGAGCTCGAAGCTGACCAGGCACATGAAGACGCACGGCAGACACGGCAAGGACACGTACAAGTGCCGTTTCTGCGAGATGCCGTTCTCCGTACCCAGCACGCTAGAGAAACACATGAGAAAGTGCGTGGTGGTCGTGCAACAGGGTCCGAAATTGGGCATGCCCTATCCAGGTAGCCAAGACGAGGACTCCTCGTTGAGCACGAAGGACACTTGATCTTGGAACGGAAGCCTACCGCCGATCCCGCCGCTATGGCCGCACAGGCCACCCTACCCAGTGTACTGAAGAGGGGGATCTTCTTCCTCGGTGAGAGCAGAGACACAGAGAGTAGACGAGAGCGAACCGAGTCGTGAACACGTGTAGGTGTGTCCCGAAATGGGAGAGATGAGTCTTTTTTAAAAAGGCAGACTTACGTAAATCGCGCGACGAGAGAAGCCGCCGCGTGATCCGGAGGATCTTCCTGAAATGTCCAAGGTCGCCTCTCTAGATTGGGAGAGAGAGAGGTGGTGTATAAGGCAGTCGACGATCGAAGGACCTGGAAACGGTCCCAACGAGGATGCATATAGAAATGCAAACAACGAGGCCCTCGAGGCACGACCGAACCACGAGGGTCTTCCTGATAACGAGAAACTGGACCGGATGAATATGGTTCAGGATAAAGAAGAAGATCGAGAAAGAGAGAGGAGGTACTGGATAAAACCTACTCTGCGTTCTTAATTTAACTAGAGAAAAAAAAACAAACGAATGGTTACCTAATATAAATATTATACATAGGATAATGAACATAGTGACTTTATTATCGCATTTGAAGATTATTTATTTAATGATAGATATATTATACATACTGTATAACGTAATATATATGTATATATATATATGTAATGTGACGAGTGTTTTCTGTGTATATATATGTAGATTACGTTATATACTATGGAGACCTGCAACCACTCTGTATGTATTAGGGACAAATGGGAAAAGACGCGAGAGAAAGTCGTGGGGAAAAAGGGGAAAAACTTTTTGTACATTATACCTACCGGACGACGCTCGCTGTATGTCGATCGATATCGACGAGTCTCTTTCCTTCCTTTTCCTTTTTTTCTGTTTTCGTTTTGTTTTCTTTTTTTTTTTTCCTTTAAGTAAATTTCGTTTCCACGGGCGGAAGAAAAAGAATCAGCGACTTCGACGATTCTGTCTGTACATATAACTCGAAAAACATCGATACTCGGGGGAGGGAGACGGGGGCTCTGTTATCGATGATCTAGGATACCGTCAGTACTCGAACCGTACGTTTAAAACATTGTAAAGGCAACAAAGCTGCGTTTTTAGATTTTAAGCACTAGCTCGATCCTATGTAAAATGTATGATAGTACTTTTATTGACTTTACAGGTCCACTATTAATATTATTACCATTTCTATTATTGCCTATTAATGATTATTCATTATTATTGTCATTATTACTATTACTATTGACCTTTATTATTATTATTATTATTATTATTATTGCTATTATTCATTGCCACTATATTATTAACTGCGTTCGCAGCGACTGTAAACGCCGTATTCATTATTTTATCCCGATATTAAATTATTATCGAAAGCTGTTTTAAATGGTTAAGAAGATGCCAAAGTTGTTTAGGTTTATCGGCGCTAGCCGCGTCACTACGCGCGCGCGAAATGTGTCCGTCGATTTTTCCGACGATTTTCCACAATATTGTTTAGAGACCGTTCGAAGCAACGTTAAAAAAAAAAGTACGAAACCTACGATCATGGAATTATGTTCGACGAAACGCGAGGTACGAACGAAAACAAGTATGTAAAAAATGTAAAGGGAAAAAGGAAATATTCCGACTGATCGATCGTTTGCAAATAATCGACGGCCATTGTCGCGCGATTTAAGCTCGACGCCTATTCGTTATAGCGCGTTTGTTCGTTGGTTATATTTATTGTGAATCCGTGAACGCACGGCTTTCGTTGGATCGAGACGAACCGTTGATCCTGCGAAAACACGTGGCGTTCACCACGAGAGAAAGAGAGAGAGAGAGAGAGAGAGAGAGAGAGAGAGCGAGAGAAAAAGAGAGAGAGTGAGGCGGTACCCGCTGACGGTTGGTTGACGATTATTTTTTTTTCTGTTTTTTTTTTTTAGCCCAAGACTGAGGTAAATCGGCGGATCGCCGCGGATCGAGATCATATTTTTTTTTTGCGTTCCATTAACTTAATATAGTTTCTGTTTATTATCATTATTTTTGTTCGTCTCTTCTTCTCCTTTCTTTCGTTTATCCTGCAAAAACGCGTCGTTGTAAACGTTTTCGAAGGGGACTGTTCCTAAATAAAAAAAAAAAATGATCTAGGCAATAAGGTAATAAACTTCGGAAACCGAACGATGAAGAAACGTACGTATGCGTGTACACTTCGATTTCTGTGTGTGTGTGTGTGTGTGTGTGTATGTCTCTCTGTGTGCTCGTTAAAATTGTGAAAAGAATTGCGTGAATCGAGCGATCGTGAGAATCAGAAGGTGAGAATGTGTTCGACGAATTTTTTGCGTACCCGGTGCGACGTGAGTAAGAGAGAGAGAGAGAGAGAGAGAGAGAGAGAGAGAGAGAGAGAGAGAGCGAAGTACTTAATAAAATGAAAAAAAGGAAACTCATATCAACATAGTTGTCTCGGTGTTAGACGTGTACGGCTCTAGATAAAAATCTCGTTATCTAGTTTAATGAAACGAAAATAAAAAAAAAAGGGAAGAAGCAAAGTTTGTTAGATCGATTCCGAAAATACGTACATGCCAGGCTCCGTTTATACGATACATGTAAATAATGGCACTGCCCGTAGCGAACGAGACAGAGAACACGAAGCAGGCGGATGAAGGAGGTGGAGAACCAGGCGGAGAATAAGGCAGACGAATGTCGTCACTATTCGAACACGTGAAATAAATAAATCATCACTACATAATTAATTGCATCAATTCTTTCATCGTGAACGAGAGCGAATCGTGTTTTATCGTCCTCGAAATCGTGAATCGTTTCGCGGGGTTCGGGCAGGGGAGAAATATTCGACAAAAGTTTGTGGGGGTAAAATGGGTTTTTCCCATCATTTCGAGGGTATCGAGACGCGGGACAACAGAACCTGGCCGAGAACACAACCGTGAAACGCGTAGCACGCTTTCGTTCAAATACAGTTTTCGCTCGTCTTTCTTATTCGAATTCATCCTATCATAGGACCAAGTTCCCTGCCTCACGAAACGAAACAATGGAGGAAAAGAAATGAACTCAAACACACACACATAACAACACATACACACGTAAATCTCGCTACACGGGGCGATCTGACCGATGGGGACACGTGGCGAAGAGGAAAGTCCGGGGAAATGAGGAAAACCGCGTGGAACACGTTTCGAAAATAGCGTGGATCTCGCGGGTTTCCTTCGTTTTGTGACTTATGATTCTATTGATCGTTTCTCGAAGCTTGGACAGGTGTCCCATCGGTCGATTTCTAACGTTTCTACACAGGGTAAAATCGAATAAACAAATGGTAAAAGATAATCCCAGAATGAAATGGAAAGAATGTCAGATGGTATAGCGAATTGAGGTATCTAGACAGTTAAAATAAATAAATCGTAAATAAAGATGAAGTATTTCCTATAAATATAATAAGCGAGCCACACGCGAACGACGATCGCGATACGGGGGAAGTGTGTCACGGGGGGTTAAGGGGAGGGATGGGTGAAACGAAAACGGGAAGAAGGTATCGGTAGCAGGGAAATTGGATTTTTAGCGAGAAAAGAACAATGAAAAGAAAAATCTTCTGATCCAGGGTAAATAATCCGAAGCTCGGTTTCTAGAGACGGCATCACTGGGTTTTTTATTTAAACGAAAAGAAAATAAAGAAAAACCTGGCGTTCGGAGCACCTTTAAAACCGAGGATCGACATTAAGGCAATACGAAAACGCTGGCCGTCTTCGGGCAAAGTCTGGCCAAAGACCCCCGCCGAATTGCCTTTGGCCGACTTTTCCGCGGGGAGGTCCTTTAATTATAAACATAGCAGGTACGGTGTATGTCTTGTGCGATTCAAATAAACCACATTGTTTTTAAATACATCGAACATGCTCGAATTATTTTACCATCCCCCCACCAACCGATTTCCTCGTCGATGAATAATCTCCGTTGTATGATCTAGTTTTCACCGCCTAAGTGGGTGTTCCGTTCTTTTTTTTTTTTTTTGTATAATGAACGAAAGGATAATTGATCCTCCCCGGTAATTGATCGCTCGAAAAGCGAAAGGAACGATCGATCTTCCGGCGATCTTCGATACGCCACCGCCGAGTCTATAGAAAGCCCTCTCTCGTTACATAAATTGTTTTATCCTCATTTCCGCGGCGTTACTATTGAACGCTTATTGCATAATCCGTTTCGCAAACGAGGATCGCGTGCAAGAATCGCGTCGCGTTTTCCGATAACGGTATTATCTTACGGTGTTGCTAGACGCGATTGTCCGTGTGGGTCGGTTTTAATTGCACGTTGAATTGATAGTGCGAGCCCCGGCTCGTTTGGTTAGTAATACGCTACGCCATCTTGCGATGGGAAGCGGCATTACTGATCGAGAATCAGGTGAGAACAGTCATCATCGGTGTGATACTTTGATGTACGGCTGGTTGCTGTTACGGAGGGGATCATCATCGGTCATCATGCATCAGGGTTTGTTTTCATTGCGTTCAATCAGTTATTTTGTGTAATTTTAATTTTCTTCTATAGACAAATAGATTTGTGATATTTCTGTGGAGGGAGGAAATGTACAAAATGTAATTATGTAGGTGAGGTTTGAAATTAAAGAATGTTAAGGTTTTGATTATGTTTTTCTCACGAATATTTTATGTTTTGTATAGTGCCTGTGTTTAATACGATTTTCATCTATTTATACTTTTATGAATAGTTTTGAAAATTTATAGAATAAATATTTACGTTTCTCGTACAAACATAAAACAAGGAAGTATGTTCGTAGAACAAAATTTAAATACTTCTTGTAAACTGAACTTTTAAATTTGCATGTAAACTAAAGAAGAACATAATGCTTACTTAACAATTTTAAAAACGAATATTGATATTCTTCTGTATGAATTTTTTCATGCTAGATACTAGATTTCCTGATGTTACTTAAGCCTGAGCATTGCAATTTAATAATTGCACTACTAGCGAATAATACCGGACCAAATATTTTACAAATAATAACAACTGATTTGGAATATAATTAATACGTCATTAAATTACACGAAGAAACATTAAATTTCTAAATAGGAACATTCAACATTTCATAACTATAATTAGTAGTAGAGTAACAATCAAGGCAACGTGTGTTGTGGTCAACGTGCAAATACTTACATTGTTAATAACAATGACCTAAACAACTGTATCTTATCATGAGATACTGTTCCAAGAGTCAAAACTGTGACGTTTAACGTGTTACCTCTTTGAAGCATGGTGGTAAGAAAAACCTACATTTTCAACTAAATATGCAAATGTTGCATATACATGTAATTAGCATATACCTAATTGTATATGCAACATTTCTACGAATGGTCAAATTGACGCTGGATGACGTCTCTTTTTACAATATTACAGAACACTATTAGACTTTATTAACTAACTTTTATATAAGCATGGTGGTAAGAATAATCTACAT